TCAGAACTGAAGAACAGCCTTACCTATGTGGGCGATGTATGTAATTCGGCGGTTTCTGCTTTGGAGACGAGAAGGTTTGCACTTTCTGTTCACTGTTAACATCCTCGTGATTGAAAGGCCATTTTGAGATCTCAAGGCGTGTTGGCTCAGGAACTTTCTATTGAGGGCATAAGGGTAGTCCTACGTGGAGAGCAGTAATGGGATGCTTGCTGTAATAGACCATTTTAATTGTGAATTTGTAAAGTTTTACACCTCCCTGTTTACTCTTCTGATTGTTATCTTTTTTTTGTTGATTATAAGATAAGATTCTTCCCTTTTAAAGCATGACTTCGTTAATTATCATCAGTGTTATTTGCATTGATACAGTGCGATCTTCAATGAGTATGTACCTTCTTACCTCATCGTTTTCAGAAAATATTTATCTGCTTACACTCAGCTCATAAAAGCAAGAAGGAGACTGCTACTGAACGAGATATATGAAATATTTGGAGTAGAAGTGGGTCTTTCTCGTTTTTTCGTCAAGAAGCGTCTTTGTTGTGCTGTATATTTGCTTTTTTCATGTTTTTGCTTTTTTATGTTAGTTTGCTAAGGTTGCCTTACAGATCCATAACGCCTCTGAAGGGACACATAAAGGAGAGTGCCCTTGTATCGAATATGGAAGCATTTGTGGTGCCCATTTGCCCGTCCCAAGAGACATGATAGGTATTTGGATGTTCTTCCTATATTAATTTAATTAATTGTGTTATGGAAGAGTTGCAAACCTCACACCGTGGAGAAAACCGCGGGACGGCTTTGGCAATGTTGTTTCATATAGCTGGATTCGAAGCCAGGGCTCGTTACCAGGGCATAGTGGTTACGGGTTAGGGAGGTATAGCACAGTTGTCAAAAAGTCGTCGGCGGAGTTTCTGCAGAGGATATCTACTAAAGGTATACTCATTAAGGTCATCAAGAAAATGAAATCGCAGCCGCTTTCGGACACGTCCTACATTTTTTGGGATGTGTGTCTCAATTGATGGACTACATTTTTCGCTATTCAGTTTTATCTGGTGCTTCGACTTCTTCTATTTATTGTCCTAAAGATAATCGGAGGTGAGTAAATTCTATGCTGGGAGATTTGCGGCATTATGTGATGAGGAAAATCCTTCAAAAGAACACTGTTGTTAATTGCCTGTGATTCTAGCCTGCCATTGCATGGTACTCGGTGGCGTTCTGGACGTATAAGACTTGACCAAGCTCTCGTTTTACTTGAGCGAAATGTATCTCAATTACGAGAAGACACTGGATTCTCTTACCGCGCGGAAAACATCCTGTTGGCGATTCAAGAATGGATAAGTGGCATATTGGAGAAGTAAGATTTTCTTGGGGTATGAATTTACTACAGATTCAAAGGAAGTTGTCATGTTTGGAGTTAATCCTTCGGAATATGTACCGCCTCTGGCGCACAAGAGTTGTGGAGACATTCTTGTCTATTCACCCAAACGAATGT